TTCGCTGCAATTATCGTGAAATTTTCATGAAACTTATATTGTGCCTACATTTGTAACACGTTTCGTCCGCGCGCACTTATATTAAGCACATCTCTTTCAGAAAGCCAGATGAAATGTAAAGTGTTATTTGAGTTGGAGCAAAACGTTGAGTCGGAGAGCGCGAGACGTCAATGCGCACCTGACTTCTGCGTGATGCAAATTGCTCGCGTTAATTTCCCAACGGGAATCAATGGCAACACCTGTGCAGTTTCTGATATCTACGCTGATGACCCTCGAATGATAGAACTTACGACATCAAAATTAATTGCAAATTGTTCAGCAAATCAACACGTTACGATCGTATTTTTCGTATTACGCGCTAGTACGTTTTGCACTAATTATTAGGTCTACAATTTAATTCTCGACTATTTTTACCAACGAATTTTAACCTAATCAAAGAGAGAGTAATCCCCTTCATTTCCCACACATTTTCGCCATCTTTCTGGCAACTGTCGCATTCTTCTTCGAAAAAAAATGGTGGTTTTGAATCGATGAATTCTATGATGAAAATAATTGAAATTGCCATCGCGAAATCTTTGGAAGCACTTTTTACAAGCACGGAGTTTTCGCCTATGTTGCTTTTCGAATGACAAAGTTTTCACTACTATGTTTTGAGGGATGACGTTTCAAAACGATTGTATCGCGAGAAAAAGATTTCAATTTGAAAAAGTGCTGTAGTCTTGATTGTGTATGTATTGAATATAGAGACTAAGAATTAAAATGTAAACCTAACATTTTTAAGTATTTGCTCAAGAAGATTTTGCTGCGTTTGCACTGTGTTTATTTCTCACGTGATTTATCATTTAGCTAAAAACATTTTAAATTGACTATTTCTTTCAATTTTGATTGTTTCAAGAATTTAAAGGGCTCACACTGTATACGAAAATATACTATATATGAAGTAATATATACAGGCGTTTAATAATATGACACCTTCCCAAATGAGGACGATGATACAAATGAATTAAAAAGGCGGTAAGAACTGATCGATATACGGCTGTTTTAATAAAAACGCTCCAATATAATGCGATTACTTTACAATAGCCGCGATCTTATCAATTTGCACCATCATTCTTTATTTTGCTTAGTTCTAAATTATTCAAACGTATTTCTCGCGAGACTTCTGGAGGTTGCATGTTAAAGCATCAGCAATACGATCGTTAGAAAATAACGAAGCCAGAAGTGTGAATTAACTTTAAGGATTTATTCTTTTCTTACTTTTTTGAAAGAAAAAGGTTACAGTTGTCAAAAACTCGAAAATTATTTTTTCCTCTCTTTTAATTTGCACAAAATTAAATATATACATAAATAATTGTAATTACAGAATATATTTGGGTATTATTTGTATGATTATTAATAGCCTTGTAACCAACATTAATTCTATAATAAATTAAATATTAAAAGGTTTTATTATAATTTTAAAGAGTGTACTTTCTACAGTATCAAAATACGAAGAATTAGAAGGAAAGAAAGAAATAAACGAGGCATTAAACGAGATATCGATGTATCTGAATTCTAGATTAATGCGGTGCAAACGAGCAGCGGTTCTGTTGAACCGCGGTGTCGGCGTGCATTATCGCGTATTCCCTGTGCGACTTTAACAAAAGTGACGTCGTCGCATCGCGCAGAATTATAACGTACCAACCGCAGTGAGAGACGAACAAGGAGAGCGTATTCTCCGGTGTACCGTCAATAAAGCCGTCGCGCTAATAATTATCGTGGCGGCGGAGTCTCGAGGGGCGTCATTAGGCGACAACGTCGTATATTGCGGCTTTTAATGTTTCACAAACGCTTTGCAGGTATGACGACGACAACGACGACGGCGTCGACGACGATGTTGTACAGCGGCGACGTTTTATCGCTCGACTACGTATACTAACGAACGGTGCTCACGGTATGCACACGTGTCCCAAAGAGGAATATACGACCAACTTGTTTCGATACATATAAGCAATATGAAACAACAACGAGCATTGTTACGCTTTGCGTTGGAAACGCGTTCGTGTATTGTCTGTCATAGAGGAATAAAAATTATCGTGTACAATCGTCGCAGATATCGGCCATGCTCGATAATAAACGATAAGAGGAGTTGTACGTGATGCTATTTTTTTCGTTTTCTATCCCCCTTTTTCAAATAGACAAACTTTTCCGATCACGCATCCTTCATTTGTATTTGTTGAGAACATGCGTGATAGTGTAGACTTCCTCAACTTCTTGATGAGATAAAGATTGCAAAGGAGAAAGAGGCATTTGCTAAATTCTTTAATTTCTGTCTATGTTCTGTTCTCTCTATTAAAATAATATAATATAATTAAATGATATTTTTTTACTTTATAGAAGATAATATTATTAACGATATAAATAGACATTAATGAAAGTCAACGCTCTCTTCTTGTAACATAAATTCTTGGAATACTGCACCCTCTTTCTTGTTCCTCCATTTCTCCTGCGATAGATGCACATGAAGAAACGATAAATATACGTTACATGTGTAATTAATGTACTTACATATGTAATAAATATACATAGCAAAATATAATAAATACGTATTATATACATGTATATATATGTATAGGTATATATAATATGAATGCATGTATAATATACATATAATTAAATTACTGTTATTTCTCCGTGTTGAAGGAATGATGACTTGATGGTCAATGATTGACGCTTTCACCGTTGATACTTTTATAAATCGCCTCACGTTTGTCGCAAGAACGATCTTCAAGTAAATTCGACTAACATGGTGGTGAAAGTATAAGTACGAAAAAGTGACAAAAAATTAAATAAGTGGTAGTAATAATATTGTACTGCAGGAGACATCAATGCTGCAAGAATTAATAATAAATTGCTGTTGCCGTACATATTTTAATTGAAATTAAAATAAGTTAAATGTATATAATTGTTCTAATAAAATATATATATATATACGATAAAAAATATATATATATTTATAAAAAAAAAAACAGAAAGATTAAATGTTAATAATAATAACAAATAACAAAATTATATTTTACCTAAAAAGTTTTAAACAAAAGTCTGCTTATAAATACTTGTTGCAAAAAATAATTTAATAAATTAACTAATTAATTAATTAAGTAGTAGTATTAAAACATTTGTATCGGCAGTTGAAAAGTAATTATCGATGATTGATAATGTTAATACTCTCCTATTATTACCTTCAGGCCTCCAGGACTCCAATGATAACCACGATTTATCCAAGGTCGATAGTGTCTTTTCTCTAATAGAACGTAGGAGGCTCTTTTTATAATAACATCTCGAGAAACGAACGACTATCGTTCGATTATCGTTTGTTCCTCTTTGATTTGAAGTATCGAAACTCGAAATAATAATTGACACAGGCAGAGAGAAGGACAAGAGACGAGGAGAAAGCTTCCCTTTGACACGAGTGCGAGTGTGCTTCTCCTTTCCCTCTCTTCCCTATGGAAGTTGGGTCGAGGCGAGTTCACGAGCGGTTAAGTACACGACGTGCACCGTGATGCATCATCACGGGAAAATGTAAAAAATGAGAACATTCTCGTGGTAACTTGCAGTGCAACGCGGTGCGAGTGCACAGCAGTGTGCCGTCTAAGAAAGCATTAACGGTGCCGTCAGTGACGTTCGATGTTACGCGATAGACAACCAAGCTGATACAAAAACGTTACAGCGAACCGAATTCGCAAATACAGCTTTGACAGTTTTATCTCCCACCCCTCCCCTTCTCTCTCTCTCTCTCTCTCTCTCCTCTCTCTCTTTCTCTCTCTCTTCCTCTCGTTGATATCGTCTGGCAGATCGAGGAAAACGAACAAAAGTGCGTATTCGTAATCTCTTGATTTTTTATTCTATATGTATTCCTCGCAGGTGAAACGCGTTCACTTCAGGAATCGCGCGATGTATTCTTTGTATTTTTACTCTTTACGATCCTTTGTACAATGAGATGCGGAAGTACTCCAGAGTGCTGAGTGCTCCAGAGTACTTCAAATATATGTGTGTGAGTCATTTGTAACTTGTTTTGATCGTGATCGCAATACACGTGAACATTCGTCTTGATCTCACTTTGCGTTATTCGTTCCTTGGAATTTTTAATAGAAAGGTGTCGCCTCCACATTCCTCTTTATGTTTATTTGGATTTTGAAAGTGGAGTACATGAATATTTTAAGACTAATAATGTATGTGTTAAAATAACGAAATGTAATAGATATATGCTTGGAGATATATAAAAAGAACATAAAGAGATATATATAAAGACACAAAGCTATCACTAAGAAGAGTAGCTCTTATCAATAATTTTTAAGAATCTCTCTGAATGATTCATATGGTTATGTATAAAATCTTTGTGTTTCTCATGAAAGTTACAATAGACTTGTTCTTTTTTGAATGTTTTGAACTAGTGTGCACTGTAATATGCACATTCGTTTCATAATATACCTAGAGCATGCCTTTTTAATATACTAAATTATAATTAAATTTCTGTGGATGAGAAAAGGAAGGCAAACAAACACTTATTTTTTTTATTCTTTCCTTTAGTAGTAAAATAACTTTAATCAATTAGCGAATCTTTGACAAAAAAAAAAATAGCACAATGTTTGCATCAGAATGTCATCATCTATGAATTAGGACATCCACTTCTCGATGGCTTGCTCCAGTATATTATATAGAACTCGCTGAATAAATTTGAGTGAAACAAAATTTATTTTACTTTAGCTTATACCAATGTATGCTAATTCAGAATATTCTTTGAGCAATAATAAATCTAATGTATTTTTTCTTCTTTTTGGAAAGAAATATTAAAAAACAGTATATAATATATGTACCTTCTTTCTAATATCAAATAATATCTTATATTATTGAAATATTTATATAAGCAATAGTAGTAGTAGTAGTAATAATTAATAAATATTTTATTTACTTGAGAATGAAAATATTTTATGATATCACATATATATTTTGTCGCTATAGGAAAACCACATTAGGGGACCTGCTGCAAGCACATTTGAGACCTGCAGTGGTTGGTGAATGGTGTTGCAGATAGATTCCGTGTGGGGCTGGGCGTCACCCCCGCTGCGCCTCCAGCTAGCCGGGGTGACCAGGGGTGCCTCGGGGAAAGTAGCTGCAGGCGTCCCATCCTCGCAGAGGATGGGTGAAATAGTCGTGGAACGCGCTCCCTCTCCAGCACGCCTCAGTCATACATCTGAAAAGCATCCACGTGCCACGCTAACTGAACTCAATGTTCTTCGTCGTCATCGGGAACTGTGCGATGTTGTTCTCAATGTTGGTTCCAGAAAGATATTCGCGCATCGCGTTATCCTTTCAGCATGTAGCCCATATTTCAGGTATAAATAGCACAAGCACAATCAATATTTTTGATTTACCTAATCTTATGACGAATGTTCTCTATTTTTTCAGGGCAATGTTTACTGGGGAGCTGGCGGAATCTAGACAAACTGAAGTAACAATACGCGACATAGACGAAATGGCTATGGAGTTACTCATAGATTTCTGTTATACTTCTCATATTATTGTCGAAGAAGCTAACGTTCAAACTCTCCTTCCAGCAGCGTGCCTTCTTCAACTAGCAGAAATTCAAGATATATGTTGCGAATTTCTCAAACGCCAATTAGATCCATCGAATTGCTTAGGTATCCGAGCGTTCGCGGATACCCATTCATGCCGCGAACTTCTGCGCATTGCCGATAAATTTACTCAGCATAATTTTCAAGAGGTATACTTTGTTCAAGGAACAAGATATTTAAGTTTCTGATTTGAAGATACTTATTGCTTTTATTTTATATATTGTAGGTAATGGAGAGCGAAGAATTTTTGTTGCTACCTGTCGGACAATTGGTAGACATTATTTCATCGGATGAATTGAATGTACGTACGGAGGAGCAGGTTTTTAGCGCCGTAATGAATTGGGTGAAAAATAACGTCACGGAAAGACGACAACATCTTGCGCAAGTCTTGCAACATGTGCGATTGCCACTACTCAGTCCAAAATTTTTAGTTGGTACCGTCGGATCAGATCTATTGATCCGTTCTGATGATGCTTGCAGAGATCTTGTAGATGAAGCAAAGAATTATTTACTTTTGCCGCAAGAAAGACCATTGATGCAGGGACCTAGAACAAGACCTAGGAAACCTACGAGACGAGGAGAGGTGTTGTTTGCTGTTGGTGGATGGTGTTCGGGTGATGCCATTGCCAGTGTCGAGAGATTTGATCCTAATACTGCCGATTGGAAAATGGTCGCACCGATGAGCAAACGAAGATGCGGAGTGGGTGTAGCGGTGTTGAATGACTTGTTATACGCAGTCGGTGGACATGATGGACAAAGTTATTTAAATAGTATCGAGCGATACGATCCACAAACGAATCAGTGGTCTTGTGATGTCGCTCCCACCACTTCCTGCAGAACTAGCGTTGGTGTCGCTGTACTGGATGGATTTCTGTACGCAGTTGGTGGCCAGGATGGAGTACAATGTCTTAACCATGTGGAAAGGCAAGTACCTATGTGTTAAAGAAAATATACACCCAAATTAATTTTTAAAATATCTCCTTTTTAAAGATTTTTTGCCAAACATATATATATATATATATATATATATATTTAAAACCTAATGATATATTGATTTATGTATATATATATGTGCGTGTGTGTGTATGATTTTGCAGATACGATCCTAAAGAAAATAAATGGTTTAAAGTGTCGCCAATGACTACTAGAAGGTTGGGAGTGGCAGTTGCAGTACTCGGAGGTTATTTATATGCCATCGGCGGGTCTGATGGACAATCACCCCTTAATACAGTAGAAAGATACGATCCAAGGCAGAATAAATGGTCCCAAGTGTCCCCGATGTCTACGAGACGTAAACATCTAGGCTGTGCTGTATTTAATAATCTAATTTATGCTGTGGGAGGACGAGACGATTGTATGGAACTTTCCAGCGCCGAACGTTATAATCCCCATACAAATTCATGGAGTCCTATAGTAGCGATGACATCTAGGAGAAGTGGAGTAAGTTTGTGTTTTATAGATATTTTAAAATATAAAATATATGGAAAAGAAAGTAGACAATTTGTCTGCACACGAAAAAACTATTAATATCTTAGGAATTATTTTAGAATTTAAGCATAATTACATAATGATGAGGTATCAGTTTTATCAATTACTGTCATGGATTTCAGGTGGGTCTAGCAGTAGTAAATGGTCAACTGTATGCAGTAGGAGGATTCGACGGAACTGCGTATCTGAAAACAATCGAAGTATATGATCCGGAACAGAATCAATGGAAGCTATGTGGTTGTATGAATTACCGGAGGCTTGGTGGAGGCGTGGGAGTGATGCGAGCTCCACAAACCGAGAATTACATTTGGTAGCTCAGGCCCCCCTCTTCAGCCCAAACGGCTGAAACTCCTTTAACTCCTCTTACACCGGTAACGCCAGTTACACCTGTAACACCTCCTGCTCCTGCATCGGTTCCTGCTATAACTAGTACTAGAAAACGCTACCGCCGATCAATGAGCATTATATAAGTAATGTATGCATTTTGTAAAAGACTTTGCCTTTCTCTAAAATTCCATGCGACATTTTGTAAGAATTTTCATCAATGTTATTATTATTTGTATTTTATTGAGTAATACAATACAAATTCCTCCCAATTGTTTTAGATTTAAACAAAGTATTCTTGGAGAAATGCTTCATAACTGTCATATACATGTAAAGTTTCAAAAATAACATTTCATTATATAAAATAGAAGAAAGGCAAAATCTGTTTCTTAACATATATTTGCCAGAAACATATGTTTTAAAAAGACATTTACAGCTTCCATTCTTAAATGATCGAAATAAAAGAGTTTAAGTTTTTAGTAGAGTTTTAATTTAACTACAAAGGGTCGTTTTTGTGCCCAACAATTTAAAGAATGTAATATAAGACACAATGATTTCTGACTTTGTAAGGATAGTCTGCTTTACATATGTAGATATTTCCTTTTGTTTATAAGACTGAATTTCAATCAGAAAATATTGAGATATTAAGATATTCATGATAAGTACAGTTTACATTCTCTTGTAAAGAAATCTCAAATTACATCGCATTTTCTGTTAAAGTCTGTGAATAACTTGTGTATCTAATTCATTTGATGCATTTATGTTATCGACGACTTGTCACATACTCCAACATACACGCCCAAGAAAAATATGTATAATACTTGAAAAGTATAAATTATTTAAACACGACATTTAAATTTTTTGCGTTGCTGCAAGAAGACATCATTTAATCAACATCATCTGTTACATACATTTAAATCTCTACAGAGAGGAGTAACCTTATCGTACAAAATGGTGATGGGGATCATTGACCAATAATCTCATAATGTAATTCGTTGTAATTATGTAATAAAAACTAGCAAAATTGGTTAAAAGTGACTATTATTATACTAACAATTGTTTATGATTTATTTTGATGAAAGTCAAATGATACATAAGAATTATTGGAATAAAAGAGCAAAATTCACAAATTGTCATTGTTACATGTATGAGATTGTTGAAGGCAGCAAAATGCATGTCTAGTGTAAGGACATATTGATGATGTAATGTAATTCTTTTTAAACAGCCGATTACAAATTCTACCGATGTGTTTATTCCGGTTCTGTTGAAACTTACGACGGTTCATTAACGTATTTCCCAATTAATTTCTGAATTATTCCGGATCCATTCATATTTAAGTTTTAATCACGTGATTATAAAACTACTAATTATCGAGATAAAACTGCCATTCGATTAAGCATATTAAATATTATACAATAGTACAAATTATCGTAATTCATGAACAAAGTTCAAATAAGTGTTCAATATTTAACCTTGTTTAATTAATTTTGAAGTTGCAGCTATGTCCCAGGAGAATGTAAAATATTGTTTCCACAATTTTATATGTGTAATATTAGCGAGTTAATTCTAATTTATGTCAAAAGTACGTAAACGACCGAATTTTGTATTATACCAAATCTTAATGACACGTTTCCCATAAACAAAATCATTGAAAGTGATTATGTTATCGATTAGCGCAAAGTCAATCTTAAGTAAAGCACGAAATGTTAAGCGCAAACGTATATTGTTTTCTGATCATATTAAACGAGATCAAAAACTTGTTCTGTACAACTGTTCAGTACAAAGGAGGAGTCATAAGATTTCTTTCCTGTTCTTCATCAATAAATTAAAGAAAGTGCGCATTAGAAATTGGCGCGAACCATCATGTATAGCGTTATCATTTCTTATACATCTGCAAACAGAGAATATCCTAGAATTAATTCTTTTTCTAATAATGATATTTATTACTTAAAAAAAAAAAACGTTTTTTTTAAAAACTATTTTTTAGGTATATATATGTATACATATACCTAAAAAATAGTTTTAAAAAAATCGTGTTGTTTTCAGACTCATGTTACCCAAATGTATTCCATTCGTTAATTCAATTAATTACGATATTAAAATACAAGATACATGTTATATTTTTCCAATTTTCATATTTTTAGATTTTGTGTTATTCAAATATTATATTTTTTTTATTAATATATCAAACAATAAGAAAATGGAAAATTTACAAATAAAATAAATAAAAATTAAGAGAAATAAAATTTACCGATATAGATTAATGAAGTTTAAATATTATTTCTCTTAATTTTTATTTATTTTATTTGTAAATTTTCCATTTTAATTCTTATTGTATATTAATAAAAAAAAATATAATATTTGAATAACAAAATCTAAAAATATGAAAATTGGAAAAATATAACATATATCTTGTATTTTAATATCGTAATTAATTGAATTAACGAATGGAATTCATTTGGGTAACATGAGTCTGAAAACAATAGCGTAAAGAAATAAAATAAATGAGAGAATCGTTACATCTCTCTCGTATTATATTTCTTAAAATTAATTTGTAGACGTTTTAATAGAGAGAGAGAGAGAGAGAGAGAAAAAATTCACCTGATGTTTTAGGAAGTTTTACAAATTCCCTATTCGTGAGCCAATCAACTGATTCCACACATGCTGTCTTGTAACGTATGATAATAGTCGATGCAATTCAGCATAAGCTGTTGAAGTTTATTTTGATAGACAGTCGCCGGTCGAGTTGTACGACGTTGCATTTTACATTTCAGTTGATTTCATGACTTATCAGTTGACATTCCTTTGTAAGAGCTGGGCCGAGAAAAAGCAACCATCTCGCCGCGGAGCCACACAGCCCGACGGCAAAAACTTCAGTTTATATCTGTTTTATTCGGTATAAACTACAATGCTGCTAGTGAATCGTGCTGTTTTATTTAATTTATTATTCGCATACTTTGCTTTTGGTAGTCCTGAGGAAGAACAAGGAGTTAAATACGCCAACAAATGCGAAGGTGGTTAATCTGGAGCAATTCGTAATATTTCTGAGACGTAAATGAATTATAGTGAATTAAATGTTTTGGAATATCAGTTTCTGTTAACTCAATTGACTGGAAGATCATTTAGAAAAAATTCTGTGCAAAAATTTTAAATATAATTAAAATTACTCTATAATTATTAATAAATCTCTGTTGCAGTGTGCAAAGTTTTAGCTACAGAGCTTGAGGCTAGGTTAGATGAAACAGGAAAAACGAACGATGTGTTAGAGATTGGATATTCAGTAGACGATGTTGTGCCAAAGAAGAAAAAGGATTATAAGAAGTCGTAAGTATCACAGATACAAATTGTATCACATCATTCCGATGAAACTAATATAAATTGTCTTTTTAGAGAGCTACGGTTAGTAGAGTCCATGGAAAATGTTTGTGAGCGCATATTGGAATACAATATTCATAAAGAACGTACAGACAGTACAAGATTTGCAAAAGGAATGAGTCAAACGTTCAAAACATTGCATGGCCTCGTGTAAGATACAGTGCATGAATTAATGTGTGCAATATGCTCTTTTATTTTATGGAGTATTCTGAAATTTAGATAACATATGATTATAGAGATAGAGGAGTCAATGTAGACTTGGGTATTCCATATGAGTTATGGGACAAACCTTCTGTCGAGATAACTACTTTAAAAACGCAGTGCGAAGATTTGCTGGAAAATTATGAAGCTGATATTGAAGACTGGTATTACAACCATCAAAGGGAGATTTCTTTAATTAGGTAATAAATTAGGATATATATATATATATATATATATATATATTTGTCATAATCGTTGATATTATTCGTATGAAATCAGTATTTATTTTTGATAATCACTGTTTAGATATTTATGTTCTGAGCGTGCATTGAAAGGACAGAATGATTCTTGCCTATATGAAAAACTCGATGCCAAGAAACAAAAGAAAAAAGAGGAATCGAAAGAAAATAGTAAAGAAAGTATGAAGGATAATTCTCCAAATATGAAGCAAGAATTGTAAAATTATGTGAATAAACGAACAAATTCGTATAACATAGGTATCTTTTATCAATTTAAATAGAATGTGATCCTATATAATAACTCCAATCATATATAAAAGTAATCTGTAAATATTTTATACACCTAGATGTATATATATGTGCCATATTTATTTGTATTGTTGAAAGTTTTATAATAAAATCTTTTATATATATATATATATTTTATGTAAACTTGCTTATAAATGTGCATATCTATAGAAGACCATATGAATATCAAATGTTATATTGATGTTATCATTGAGACTAGTATTCATATTTGGTTCTTATATTTCAGACGTTTTGGGTATAATCTTAAAATGTCATAAACTAAGCAGAAAGCCGATTATTATGAATAGGTCTGAAAAATCTGTTAACAAGATTTTTAATAAAAATAGTATCAATTATACTAAATAGCATATAATTTATTATTTACAAATGATATACATACTCTTTAGAAAAATTTGTTGTATTTGCTACACTCAATTATAAATCATTTCACTCTTGGGATGGTTTAGATTGATTTCTGAAAGGCGGTGGTACCCATTTAGTTTTACCGCGAAGTTCTCTCAAACGTTGATATTCTTCCTTGAAGTCCTTATGTTCATCTCTGAACAAGCCGTAATCGCGCAGATGTGTCATTAATAGCTCAGTTTCTCTAAATCTTGGATAATATTCTACGATTTCTGGTCGCTTGTTTACCGGTTTCTCGCTAAAGAGCTTTACAACTTTCATCGATTTCTGATTAGTCGGTCTGACTACTTCGCCAAAGATTCGATTACTCAGACGATTCATGCGCATAGCATAAGTAGTGCTCACGTTCATCAGATCCACGTATTTACTCATCTTGATTGAACAGTATTAGTTCTTTTCTTATGTCTACAAAAAAAGAGAAAATAAGGTTAGAAATCGGAGATTAGAATAAAACTTTCTATATTTAAGACAATTGACACAAGTGAATTTTAAAATAATTCCGTATTTATTCACTCTTAGCACTTTTATAAAATTACAGATTATAAATTGTTATATTAAGCACCAACCATGCAAGCTACGCTCGCATTTGCTTATACATAAATCATACGCACAGCTCGCACAAGTCGCACGTTGCACAGCTGATTGAGCTAATTGCACGATTTGCACGTGCAGACGGTGCAGACGCAGAGTGACAGAGTGTGTCTGTGAATAGATAGAAGATAGAAGTAAGTCTATTAGCACTTCTATGTGCACTAAAGATGAACATAAACTACGTAGCCATGTTCAGAAATATGTGTCTGATGGTAACACTACTAACATGCATGCTATGTTCTTCTAGTGGTTCTGTTCCGTGCTATGCTCGCCCGCTTTGATGATGGATGTTTTGATTTGATGACGTAAGTCGACACAAGTGTCATATTCTACCTTTGTTGCTCTCTGAATATCAAAAAAGATGTTTGTGTCACTAATAATAAGTAAAAGGCACCCTACATACTCTCGCGTGTGTATATCTATTATCGAGATATGGCATCCTTTTATCAATTGCAGTCCAACGATACTCACGGTCTATTTTACTTAACTTTGATATATTCATATGTTATTTGTCTATTTATATATAATATAAATATAATTGATCATATAATCTCACTGTTTTGTTTCCTATGCTGTTATTGGTATTTATTTTACACTTGTTTATATTTATTTACTTATGCCTTTCCTGTATTATTTATTCCTCAGTCAATTCTTCCTGGACTGATTTGCATTACAATTTATAGGAGCTATCTCTATTTCTAATAAGCCTATCGATTTTTTATTGCAAGTTTTACCTCTTTTCTGCTGCATCCTGGAATTAAATCTTTTATCCAACATTTTTTGTTTTTTCTTGATGGTACACTATTTAGTTATGTGTTATACAAATGATAAATAGGCTGGCCCTTGGAAGCTGCAGTATGACATCTCATCGAATTTATAACTAAAAAAACTATTTCATAAAGTTATATGTATATTTTCTGTATAATTAAAATTCTTAATTTAATAATTATATTTTAATTCTATATAAAACTAATAGTTAGACATCGGAGATACGCATTCCCATATTCTTTTGTCAACGAATACACGTAGCTGTATTGACGACGATTCAAGATATTGGCGGCGAAATTATTGTTAAATTAGATTGCGCGGATTTTTCAAGGCTTCCTTAAGCGAATAGCGAAGCCTACTAAAAGTCACATCGCCGCAGAATTCCGCTGTTCTTCGCTTAGGTGAGTACTACTGAACGTTTTCCACGATTTATATTTTTTGTAAATTTTAAGTGATCAAAATTAACAGCGACGATTGCAAACCGATTTACAAGTATAAAATAATAATTATTATTATTTAACAAAAATTTTAATTAGATCATAAAAAAATTAATTTACTTGAAGCCTCTAAATAGTTTTGTCTTAAAATTGCAAATAATCCACCATTAATTGTAAATGTTATTAAATTAAATTATCGATATAGACCGTTTATTTATTTTAATTTGCAAAAAACAAGCGAAATTTATTAATGTTATTAAATTATTTTTAAATGTCATTAAATAGCGCACAGAAATTAACTGTGAATTTTCTTATCTTCACAAGAATGTAAGGGCAATATAAAAATCGAGCAAACACTATAAATGCAAAAATTTATTGTTGTTTTATGTTAGCAATAAATCGTACATTACAGTGATGTTTGAGTTTTATTGGAATACAATTACGCTGCATCTTCTCTTATAAGAATAATCCTGCGTGCATCTACGCGTTACATTGTATTTTGCGGAACATTCATTTAAGTGCGGCGTTTATATTTTATATGTTTAACTAGGATTGTAAAATATCTACTAATACATATTAATGAAATAAACGAAGTTTTTCATTAAACAATTAAAAAATCTACGTTTATGAGTTATGTTTTATAAATTTTTAATATTTTAATAATTTAAATATGTTGCTAAACATATGAAGTAAAAGATCTATGTTGCAAGAAATCGTATGATATACTTAAATATGATTATTCACATTATATTTTATTTAGCAACTTATGAGTAATTCATGTAATATTTTAGTCGCGATATCTCTTATATGGTTACTCTAATAAATGATATCGTGATAAATAGTATTGATAATGTTGGAAATTCCAGTGAGAATCCTGTTGCAATAACTTAGACACATTCAAATAATTCGAATTGATAAATAATATTATACATCCTGCGTGTTAAAGTATAGATACATATACAGAAGGAACATTTATCAAATTTTGAAGGATTTATTTTTTAATTATTTAATTGATTAATACACATGCAATTTAACGTATTTTTTTTTACAAAATTTTAAGGAAATAATTAGCTTCATTACTTTCTTTATTTTTAAACACAAAATATTAATACGCAGTGAGAGATATCAAGAAGCTTATCGTTATTTCCTGTTTAAGTGGGTGGTAGCAGTTTTTTTTATCACGTAGTATAAATAAGCGCATCTATTGTCACTCATAATACACTTGTTCTCGAGAATTTAAATTTTCAACGTGATAGTATGATAATTATGTTACGATGTGTGACAGTGGTGCTTTCATATGCACTAATGTATTGTGCGGCATCGGAAAATGCAATTGCAACTGATACAGCGATCAACGGATTGATAAGTAAATTAATATAAGAAAATAATCGTAAAATATATCTTGTTTTGGTAATTTATCTAAGTAAGACTTAAAGAAGAGAAAGAAAAAAAAATTTATATTATAACTGTGGTACATCTTGAATGTTAAATTGAATATCTATCTTTTATTATGACATTTATAATTTATTTCATATATGTATATGTATTCTATTGTAATCGTTTTGTTTAGGAAGAAATATTTCTCAAAAAATTTATAAAATTTTCCTACAGCTTCAGGAAAATTATTACCAAACGCAAATGGAAATTTATCTCCGGCACAGCAGATTATTTACATTTACGGGCCGCATCAATGGAAAATGCAAAACGGTAACAATCTCATAGAAAAGTTAGGAAACGATTACCTTATAACATCTGGCATAGGTGCTCATAAACTTCACGTTCGCAAATTGCCATGGAACAAAGCTCGTAGAATTTGTATTGAAGAAGGGGGTGAGTTTTTAACAGTGATTTTATTTGATGACGGAAATGCGCTCTGTCATCTTTCTATCATTTTCTATGAGCAATAATGTTTCAATGTAAATTCTATTTCTTAAACTTTCTTTTATACGAAGAATACGGCATTCAATAAAACCGATACAAAATAATTACGTAACTTTATCGGATTAACGCGTATCTACCTATCGATGTAGGTCATTTGGCTATCATTAACTCAAATTCGGAGGAAAAATTGCTGATGCATATCTTAGAGGAGAACAAAGTTAATCAGGCGTGGCTTGGCGTACACGATCTTTATGAAGAGGGCGATTGGAGCACGATTATGGATGAACCTTTGGAAGCTATGGGTTACTCAAAATGGACATTAAAAATTGCTAACGCGCCTGACAACTACAATGGAAAACAACATTGTGGAGTCCTTCTAAAGGACGGTGGAATGGATGATCTCGAGTGCACTGCAGCAAATGCTTTCTTCTGCAAAATTACTTTCTGAATTCTCATAAATCACGTGAACGCAAGATCATAATCAGACGTTGTAACGGTATGCGCTTTATCAAAGACTATCTATAATTAAATAGTCGTTCCATGATGTGCTATTAAGATCAAATTAACGTCAGTAACAACGCAGGCGTATTTTTACGATTAATGGGGTTATGTATCAATCTTATAATAAAGGTGATTATAGGTCATAAAATCTATTTTTAACACTAACCTAAGATTATCTTTAGGGATATTAAATGACACCGTGAAACATGCGTAATGTATATTAGAAACAACATAAGAAGACTTATATTTTTATGAAATACGTTGATTTTTTAAAAACATGCGTACTGTTAATCCATAAAATTAATAGAAATATTAAGGTAAAGATGATGATTGACAAATAATATAATATAAACAAAAAAATAAAAGTGTTCTTATATAGAGTTCTAGATTAATTATAATAGTTGAAATTAACTGAAGATATAAATTAAGTGATTCGAGTTATGATTAGAACTACTTTAAACATCTCGTTATTGAAAACATCGAAATAGGAAGATAGAAGAGGCTCGTTGCAATTCAAAGGTCAAAGGGCACTTGTATTCAGTGTATCTCTCAACCATGGATCAGTAAACTGCGTATGCAAAAGGCAATACTGGATAGCAAGCATTCTTCGCGGTTCCATCTGACGTTTCTTTATATCGGTTTGCATTCGTCATGTTTCACAAATGAATTTATCTCCGGTGATCAGTAGATCATTGTGATGAGATCTCGGATTCTCTCTCGCGGGGCCGATACCTCTTTTCCTCTCAACCCTGATGAGACCATCGTTCGCATTACGAACATAGCGTCCGATAGCTACTCTCAAGCCGTCCTTATTGATTTTCCTGTGTAGGCGCACGCGCCATCCCGTTCTCGATTTGCGACAAGGGGGGTGCGGCTGTAACCATGGATCCCAGTGTACTCGCCACCATGGACAAGGACGCACTGAAGAAGCAGATCGAGAATATGAAGTACCAGGCGTCCATGGAACGGTGGCCCCTGTCGAAGAGCATTGCGGCGTAAGTGCATCGCGGCACCAGTCGAATCATTATCTTCATCATCGTCGTTGTCGTTATCGTTGTGTTACCTGTATTCGCTAGTTGTCCATCGTTTTTCCTCCCCGCTTATGTATCATTTACACATCTGTAGATTTGAGAAGACTGTCACCCTCGCACACACGTAGATGTCCCAAAAAGTACCTCGCAATTTCTGTTCATTATAGATTTATAGACATAAATTTTGCGGACTTTAGAGATAAAAAATTGAATTGAAATTTATTACTTTTTATTGTGATAAGAGAGACATTAAGATTTTTTTTTCATCAATATTACATTCAAATCTGTAATTTATTTTTGAAATCTTTACCACAATATTTATTTATAATCTAATTATTTATACATACATAGAATTCATTTATGTATAAATTTAATTTAATACAGTTTTTTTTACATTAATTTTCAGTAATGTTCTAACTGCAGACATTGAACAGCTGCCATTTTTTATTTCAAGTTTCATGTGCTGTACTTAAATGCGTGATTTTTTTAGATATTTAATTATTACTTAATTTTATTTAAGGAAGTTCAAGAAGAGTTATTTATCTGCCTCGTTTAAACGAAAGTTTACTAATAGTTGCAACTAAGATAAAAAATAAATATTTAGGTTTATTTTTCATTTATTATTTTATATTTATTATCATTTATTATTTTATATTTATTATCAATAGTATACGTTTATACACATACTCGTACATATATTTATAGTATTTAATTTATTTATTTCCTTTAATTTTTAACACATTTTTTGTATATTTTAATATCTGAATAATTACTACGTATTTTTAATACAACTTAAATAGTACAACAAATAAGAAGTATTATTAGGTTTGTCATCTCGAGATAGTGCATTTATTTTTACATCACGGGTGTATCTATTCGTTACAAATTTCTCTTATACTTCAGAAGTTCTGTTCTATACTTCAGGTATTTTCTATGTACAAGGCAAATAACGCGAAGGCTATTTAACGGTAACAAGTAAGTTTCCAGTTCCTCAGTAATCTACGGTAATTTTCGCCGGTGCGTGATCATGGAATGCCTTTCCAGATGAATTGGTTTGCGCATAAACCTACGTAATCACGCAGGTTGTTATCGTTCAAGGTTCAACTATATCTGCTTTAGCTGAAGGATAACATTGTTTAAAAAAAATTATAGAAACCAATGTTTCTATTTGTAATTAGTATAACTACAATTACTAATACAAGCAACTTTTTTTAATATAACGAAGAATAAAATATGCGGCAGGTGAAATTCTATTTAGTTTCTCTAATGAAAGTAAAAAATATTTTATTAATTATAATGTTAAAGAGAGTATGAGACAGCTAATTAGCAAAATATTTCAAAATGTAAAGTCTTGATTTTAAAATTTATTAATTTTTAAAAAGGAATCATGAACTGTCATTTCAGGAATTACATTGATTATTGTAACTTATTGTTAAAAAATTCATCCGTTATGCACGAAATGTAGAAAATTGAGTTTCCGCTACGTGTTAAAACTGCGATCGTGCAAATCAAAATGCATACTTCTAATTACGTGTAGGTGTGTTCCGGTGTTCCCGATCGCATTTTTCTTGCCTCGAAGCACAGCGCCTTTTCCCAGATAAGTCATCTCGCGCGCCCATAAGTACAGTCGCGCGGATTGCTGGCACAGTCAAGGCTGAATTGTGCACAGCGTCCCCGTGTTTCATGGAGGGACAGGATCTCCTTGGACACGGCGGTGCGTGTCCGCGTTAATCGCGTTTTTACGGCACACGATTACTTTCAGGGAACGCGCATTTATGTATACGCGAGTACGAGCGCGATAAGAGAGAGAAAGAGAGCGAGAGTCCGTACAAAAGCTGACGCGGCGATTATGATGACTCAATAATCAGTGAAGATCTAATTGAGCTGCAACTGGCCCCAATTGCATTTCGATCGTCTCTCAATGTAATGTCTTGGTGGTTTCGCCACGCGTAAATAGGATGCGGAAAGAGTTTACGCGAGGATTATTCTCGCGTCCATTTCGGCTTCAGTTAATTATATCTTTCGCATGTCACACTCTCGCTAATAATCGAGCACGATAAAGTTATTGCGAGATTAAATGCTCGCAAAACGCTCTGCGAATTTAACTCACGTTCCAATCGATTTAATGGCGCGATGTTAACGACCTTTCGCAGATAACGAGCCTATTCGAAAAAAGTACTTATTGTCTTATAAATTACACACAAAACAACTGCACTCGATTGATAATTTCTTTATCTTTTAGTAGACAAGTTATTTTCAAATAATTACAATAATTTTTTTGCAAAACAAAATTTATGCGTTATAGAGGCATACTTCGCTTTTGTTAAAAAAAAAAAAAAAAAAAAAAAAATTTTTTCCTATTTATTTTTATTAATATACTCTTTCGGACATTATTGTTCTTGATTATTACTGTGGTATGAATATTAAAAACTATCAATACTTGTATGTGATGGCAAACAGGCGAAAGTGTATATCAATTTGATGCTGAAGGCATCCCCGATCACCTGCATCACAGATATTTTGCAAGGTCCGGTATTACGTCAATATCGCACGGAACGAAAGGGAACGGAAGGATCAGGAAGCGGGCGTGGAAATCGTATCGTCGTATTATCGGAGCGCGAGATTAGGTCGATCGGCAAGGGATAAAAAGAAAGAGGAGAAAAAAGAGGCGACGCGCGGAGAGCGGAGAGGGGGGGGGGGGTGGAAGCGGGTGCCCCGCCGCCTTTCACCGCTCGAGAAGTCTCGCGAGACCGCGGAAATTTTTTGCTTTCGCGCACGATACTCGCCTCGAAAACCGCCGCGCGAGAAACGATCGTTGTCGGCCTGAACGCGCCCGGTTCCGCGTCGTTCCGCAAGCGGAACCACGCACCGGAACAAAAAGATCGGCGTCTGTACTTCCCGCATGCCCGTCGAATCGTATCGTCCATTAACGATGCGCCCATACGCCACGGACAGTTTCTCGCTGTAACGATCTAATTCCGGTTTAATTAAGCGAGATCATATAGTCGTACACACGACACAAACAGAAATTACCGTGTGCAAAATGTCGACATTAATCGACGGCTGCGGTGCAATGTGTGCCGACGTTGCGCGTCTCAGTTCCTCCTGAATTTAGGATGACCTCCTTTAAACTCGGTTGTGAACCCGATGCCTGTTGCATTCATCGGCACACAATGTGGGTCGTGTTCTCTCAAACGCTCTTATTTACGCGATACTTTATTCGTGCATGGAAGTCCCATTACTCGCAATACTTTAGCAGCGTTAACAGTCATTAATACGATAAGATAAATTATTGAAATACCTCTGATTGGGATTTTGAGAGAATTAATCTTATTAACTGGCACATGCTTCTCCTTTTAAATTTCGTGACACACAAATATCATGTGTCGGCAGCGCGTGAATATTTAGTTAAACTAGAAATACTAGAAAATCCCTGGCATTTTTGTCAAGCGATAGTTTCACTCAATCTTCGTGCGTTAAATTGAGACTTCCATCCGCCAGGCCGTAAAGACACGAAAGTGAGACAAACCGTGAATTCGAGCGTGAAGTGAACAGAATCGCATTCATTTCATTTCTGCAACTGATCCGCACGACAACTCTCGTTTGACATCGCGACTCCGGGAATCGTTCTGATTTCTGATTGCCGCTCATTATATAAACGACGTTCGCTAAATAATAGACGTCGTAGAGACATGAATCGATAACATTACGACACGGGTGTCTCGGAGAAGGTCGTTCACCCTCACTTAAAAATTGCGCGACGGGCTCTGATAAGTGAAAGTTCGCGATTCCTGCACGAACTCTAATAAATCGATACCGATCAAGCATCACGAAATGTGATTATAGCCAAAAAAAATCAAGCTTAGTCAGGATGGTCAAGAATTCAGGAATACGATATGAGAAAAATATTCTTTTGCCCATTACACAGTTCATATAGATATAAAGCCAAATGTTTTTTTACTCGTATTGTGAAAATTTAGAAAAATATAAGTTTTTCGTGCAAAATGAGCAATGAAGAGCAATTTGATTCTGCACATTTTTTTTTCGAGGGAGTAATCACTACCTGAAATATTGTCCCACAGAGATTGCATGATTTCATTTAATTTTATATAATTTTATTTGATGGCAAATAATTTTCCTCACTATACATTTGATAAAGTAAACGATTTTATCTAATATTACACAATTATTTCCTGTACTTGCATATGTAATTATCGGATTATATATCGGAATTTCATATAAATTTTATAATGATTTCAGGGACTCCGTCCCATGATTACATTAAGTGATTACCCTCTTCGTTTTTTTACACAAAGTACTTACTTACGGTTTTACTCGAATTAATAAATACTATTAAAAGAATCTTTTCTATGGGAATTCATTAAAAAATACACACAGCTATAAAGTGTATGCGTTGACCTCGTCATTTGTGCGCGTAAGCAGTGCATGCAGCTGACACTCGAAACAATGTCGCGTATCTGTTCATACATGCTCTGACGCTGAAGGTTTAAGTGACAATGTTAAGTTTTCAGCCGTCATTTATATGCAATAAAACGCAGTGAAGGGTTAAATGCGCGCGTACGTAGCCGACCGGTGCTCTTGTATCCCGCAGGAAGGAATTCCACGGACGTTTTGCGCTTGGCGAGCGCGTCTAGAAGCAATAAAGTTCGAAAGCTTCGTACCGTTGGTTGCCGTTTACGCGCGACTCTCCTTGAACGCAAAATCGGCCGTGCGAGCGAACCGAGTCCCTTTCACCGACTTCCTCGCAAAATGAACGATTGGCCGGCTGGTCGACTCGCATCGGCCGCTCTACATGCGGAGGCGCGAACTTATCGGTGATCTACTAAATCGGAGGTATAATCGTATCGCGCGTGCACGAACGTCTCGCGAGACATTCTCCAGGAGATTCTGGAAAACGACCAAGTCCGAGGCTCTTCTTATTTCTCTCTCTAAATAAAAAATACTTTTTAGCGAAGCTATATACAAAAATAATATATTATATATGATTGTTGATAAAAGAATAAGGAGGATATTACCTTTGGATTTATGAGTATTTTAGAGATTTATAAGACTTTTTTAAATATATTTGTGATACAAAAAGATATATTATTTTTATGACAATATTCTAAAATTTTGAAACAAATATTTCATATTTGAAAACGAATTTGTCTAATCGTCAAGCTCTTACACGCATGTCATGAATAAATAAAAGACGCTAGTCGACGAGTAGATAAAGGGTCGCGTAATGAAGAATTAATTCCACTAGAACGAATCACAATCGCATGTTTATTGCGCCATAGTCTTAGGTAAGCTGTGCTGGAGTAGTAACGCATGTAGTCAGGTTGCAATTTCAGCATTACGCGAGACTGGCGCACGGTTTGACCCTCTTATTCTTCTTCTCGGCAGGATGCGGGAGTATGTGGAAGAGAACGAGAGGAATGACCCACTGATACACGCGCCCGACAAGAAGAACAATCCCTGGGCCGAGAAAGGCAAGTGCATAATCATGTAATCGGGGCCAGAGCGGAGGAAGAGCAACAGAAGAAGAAGGAAGCGGGCATACAAACCGAGGAGGAGAGGAGCCGGTCGTTCATCCGCGGCAAAAGAAATCTCAGATCATGAAGAGGGGAGAGGAGTGGAGGAGTAGGAGGAGAAGCACACAAGAGGAAGAGGAAGAGATGCCGGTAGACGTCCGCTGTGATTCGATCGCGATTCGCAGATTTACTCGATCGTCGAAGCGATCGTCCACCGGCCCTGCCGAAATAAACACGTGGTTACGATCAGTTCCGCAGTCGATCTGTCGACTGAAGATCGAACTGGAGCGAACTGTTTGCCGGGACCGTTCCGTTCCTCCAGGACTGTTCTACGATCGCGCGACATGCGGCTTTGCTGATCAATTTCTGATCCGTATCAGCCCATGAGGTATATCGTTATCCTTCGTTGATTGTGCCATTCGTTACATAATATCGTAAAGATGTCCCGAGGATAATTCGAAGCCTGTGCATTGATAAGTCTATTGATGACGGACAAAAAAAGAGATACGAAAAGAAAGAACAAAAAAACGCGATAACTTGTAACTGATCTTATGAAGTAATCGCGCGTTGTTAACAATTTGCGATAAATTCAAACGGTTTGCAATTGCAAGAGGAAGCAGAGAGACGAGAAGAAAAGGAAGGAAAATTGAAGAATTTGTCAGATGAATCACTTCCGCCTGGATCGATCGACGTCGAATCAACTGCCGCATGCCGCGCGACGTCGCCCTGCACATTTTACTCGCCGATGCACTTGCGATGTGAAACTTTATCCATTCACCGATCAATCCATGAATGCAATTTATTCTTAATGTTACATGTATACATAAATATATATTCGTATTGTACGAACATATAGTTATTATTGTAATAATAATTATAATTACTCTTGTATATGTAATTTTGCGCGAATTTCTTACGAAAATATATATAACATGACCAGCAATTGAAATCCAAATCCTGTTTTCTGCATTCGTTACTCGTTCTAGGAAAATGCACAAGTTCTCAGTTGATTCTTTAATTTAATTGTCTGAAATCGCTACCGCGTTGCGTTCGATTCTCTTTCTCATTTTCTCTTTCACCCTCTATCGTTGTCGTCTGACTAGTTGCTAGGCGTTTCTACTGACATTCGTATGATACGCTTACGAAATTCTGGAAAATCATTACACTTTGCTTTCGTTTCTAATTAATCTACTTGTTAAGATCCAACAAAATATTCTGCTACTAATACACGTGAGGCATGCATGAGATTCCGCAATTTCTCAACACTTTTTACGTTTTAATTTTCTATTTGCGTACATACGAATATAAATAAAACAAAGTTTTCTATCGTATTGTTATTTTATATTCAAATCAGTGAAATATAGATGAACCATGTAACATTTTGATAATTATACTGTTCTAAAAAGACAATAACACTTCATAATTAATACGAATACGAAGTCTAGCTTGGATCTTTACTCGCTTATATATAATATAATTTCGCGTGAATTTATATATAATATACGTAGTTCTCCCAAACTGCGCCAAACAACACTTAATTCAATTTACAAAAGTGTTAACTTGCGAGACAACTACGCATTTATTATTATTTGTAAGAATCTTAAATTTATTGAGATAATTTTTATGTGAAAGATAAAGTGCGATGACATAATATTGCAAAAATAAAGTTGGAACAAATAAATTAATAAACGCATGAAGTTTGATTTAGTAAATTCTATACGCTTTCTAAGAAAAGTTGTTTTGTTCCTTACTAGAATTATTTAAGTAGAATTTCATATAACTTTCATTTATAATTATAAATAATAGATATCTACATATGTATAAATGTTGGAAAGACTTATTTACAGATTTTTAATCAAGTCATATATGTAAGTAAGTTGTATATGATTTAATTGTTTCAGACTTGCTGTTACAGCGTGTTTTGTTGCTGGTTCCAATTTCATAACACGATATCCAAAGTAATTTTAAACAAACTGTGTTATAACTGCTCTTATTTCATACAACACAAAACCTGCAGCGTGAGTGAGAGCTATGTGAAACCACGAATAAAACCACGTTCCGAAAGTTATGAGCTTTACAGACGGCACTTGATACGTTTGTGTACGATGTTTTGCCCGGTTGCGTTCAGCTGTCTCTGAAGAGTCCATCGAAATTACCTTATATAAAATCTCATTTAAACGATAGAAGAAGCCACCAATTTGTTGCGCACCGTAATCGTGTCAGGTACATGAAATCAGGGATTTCCAGCAGTCGCTAGCTTATTGGGTAATCCGCATTGACATGCGGAAAAGAATATAGAAGAATATAACGTATAACAAATAAACTCCCCTGCGGAGAAGTAATTTTCGAAACCCGATAGTAGCGCTTATTATAACCGCGAGCGGCGAGGTTTGAGGGAAAAGAGATAATGACCATTTTGACAAATTGCAGCACAAGCAAGCGCTGTCCAAGCAATTTATATTTCTCTATAACGTTAATTATGCGGATACTTACGGATCGTTAGAATCGCCTGACGGCGGAGAGAAAGGAACAGCGAAGATATTTTCATACAGACGAGGTATTAAAATTCTTACACTGGCATAAACAGTGAAGATGGTCTGGAAAAAGAAAAAAAAAGGAGAAAATGAAAAACGGGCAAGACCTGCAGGGGAAGAATCGCAAGAGTCTGCACTTTCGCTTCTTAAACGAGCGAGATCTAAGAATCAACGGATGGCGCGGCGTGTCTTCACGATAGTGACATGAATTAGGATCTCTCTTCTTAGGATCGTTACGTGCGAGTAATTTGCAAAATCATTTAACATAGGAAGACGGCATTCGTTATAGTCGCAAGAATCGTAGCGTATATAATTAAGGATGTATTACATATACACATATTTTTTTTAACAAAATAAAGATAATAAGAAAGAAAATTTATTTTTATGTAGAAAAAGTAAATTTCCAATTTTAATCTTTTTTTTTGCTGTGTACCTAATACATCCTTAATTCAGTTTTTATATTATCAAATATAAAGAAGAAGAAAACATGAATAATTATAACCGTTAAACTTTGAAAAAAGACCTGAAGCACAAGCATTATACTTTTGTAAGGTTTTGAAATCTGTGATCAATTATTATGAATTATGTTGTACCGAATGACAAGAAAACATAAATGCGGTATTAAAATGTTTAAAATGAATCGTTCATCTGCAAAGCATGCACGCATCTGTATAGTGTCTTCAAAATTGGCATTTAGAAAAAATGTACTTATTTTGAAAGTGATTTGCTGTTGGTTTCTTTTCTCAGCGAAAGTCTAAAAACCTTCAGTTTTAATTAGACTGGATTTTTCAAATAGATAATTAGAACGATATAATCAAAGTAGATTAGTAATCAAGAACCTACACGGAAACTCATTAAATATAGGGGTTTCTTCCTTATATGATGCATTTACTTATATATTTTAATTAAAAAATCTTATTATAGTGTAAACTAGATAATTTATTAATTATAGATTCTTATTTTTTATTTTTTCTTATTTTTTATTAAAAAAAAACACACAGGAAAGGATAAGTATAAGGTATAAATAATCGAATAATTTATAAAACTGAGATTTTCATTATATGTTTGAAATGGTTTTGAATCTATCGCTAGAAATCTCTTTATCGCAATAAGTCAATCTATAAATCAATTTTAGATTATTTAAGCTCGTAAATACTGCACCATATGGGTTACCTATCGTATCATGTGCGACCGATATAGAATAATCACACGATCACCATCGACAATTTGCTAGAACATTTCTCCAATTATATTGCAAGTGTTGCAACATGAATAACCGATCGATTACGTCTATACCAGACGTATTATGCAGTCGTTATGCTTTACATTAAATTGCATTCTTGTCATACAGTGACAAAGTTCATCGACTGTTTATCTTGTATCTATACATTTATTGTTTTTTGTTCCACTTGTTCACCGATTAATATCGAAACAGATTTAATATTTAATTGATATCGATGTATACTTATTATATATTTGTTTTAGTAATTGCGCAATTACGTAAAAATTATTTATACGATGCTATCTTTGTGTTCTTTTTACGATGAGCATTTTATTATCCGAAGACACGTGTGCGTTGAAAAATTATGTCAATTATTTTATGATTGGCATTATGTGAGATACATTTACACATAATTAAAAATATTATCTTAAAATTTTTATCAAAATTATTATTATTCTAATTTTTGCCATTAAATAGTCCAGTAAATATTTTTGGACAAATTTATGAATTATCTGGAAAAAATTCATACAACCTAGTTTCAATTGTATTGTAAATTAAAATCGTAATAACTCGGATTTCTCGAAATTCTTCGTATAATTGCCAAAAAGATGGCAATGTAATGTGAACAGCGCATAAGAATGATTAGGACAATAAATATGGCCGATATATAATTATTGCTCCACAAAGTCCAGTGCTTTTTTCTAACGCTGATCTTTCACGCAATCTTGCGTGATCGATTGTAACTATAGCGTGTTACTATCACTTTACTATATACACTTTACTATTCGCAAAATGAAAGGTGGCTTTAATTACCATCGTTGTCACATCAAAAACGTCAACGTTTTCGTCGTAGACGTTATCATCACTTTTGTCATAGTTGTGATGTCTTTGTCGTAGTCGCCGCTGTCTAAAGGTGTGCTGCAAAATTATATAGAGAGTGCAAGGAAGAGAGAGTGTACTCTCCGTTCAAGGAAGAAGAGGGAGGTTGGCAAAAAGAGAGAAGGGGGAGAGAGAAAGAGACAGACAGAGAGCAATATGTCTAGAGAGAGGGAAAATGAAAGAGAGTAAGTGATCGAGAGAGAGAAAGAGAGAGAATGACAGCAGGCTTGTTCGCTACACCAGTCAGTGTTTCCCGAACTGCTGTCAGTGACAGTTCCCCGATCATGCGGCGGCGGATTCTCGATCATTGATTTGTATCAATAATCGAGATCCTTTTTTTTTTCACTCTTTCTGATCTGCCGGCAATTCTATCGCGTTGTTGAGTTTTCTCTCCGTTTGTACCGTTTTCCATTAATAAGACGTTGTTCGAAGGATCTTTTCTCACACGGTGTTACGAGCGACGGACCATTATTATTGTTGTTGTTTTGAGTAATTGGAGCAATTATGGTGAGTTTAATTTTATTATCGAACATTATATATAAATATATATTTTCATTTTTATTTTTATATTACAACGTCTTTTATATAACTCGGGCTAGAGGAAGCGTAAAATGATTATCGCTATATTTCTTTTATAATTATCAAATTATGAATAGAAAGTTACTGTCCGTAATTGACAAAAATATATTAAATTTAACACAATTATTTACAAAATGTAATTAAATAGATTATGTTAATTTTTAACAGATTTTTTTGTCAATTAGTGATAATAACTTTCTAAGCCAATTTTATTTATACACCGATTTGCGTATTTGTATTAAGAGATAGTTTCACGGTTAGCGATTTATCTCGATCACCCGATCTATCAGAAATCTTTGACAGAGAAAGAAAGAAATTGTCGAGATAATTTGCTCCAATTTCGTGATATACCACATTCAATAGAAAAATCATCAAAATCATGCTGCCGCACAACGAGGTGATATTTGTAATCAGATGTTCCGTGTTCGATATACTTTTCTTTTCCACGCAGCTACGTTTCCGAATAGTCTATTTGCACGACGGAATTATTACATCACGCGTGAATTTATGCGAGACCACTATGGAACCGGTCCCGAAAAAAGTTCGTTACAAGTGTAAAATTAAGACGGTCGAGTGAGATCGTAACTACTGGCCTGTGTCATTTATCAGAGAGTCAATTTAGTAGATC